AGCCAGGGTTTGGAATTTCAACCAGATGTCGCGGGGTCCAAAGTCAGCCTCTTCGGCATGCTTCCGGCTCCTGGCTGGGCTGGCCCAGTGGGCTGCCCCGGGCCGGCAGCTGGCCCTCCCCAGGGGCCCGGCGTGGCTGGGACCCCACCGTGGCGCGGGGGACCCGAGCCTGTCTCCCTGCAGCACCAGGGCCGTGGACGTGCTGTGCCCGCAGCCAGGCTCCGCTCGTGGTCCCAGCGTGACCTCCCCGAGCGGGTCCGGTTACATCTCAGCAGCAGCTAAGGAACAAACACAGCTTGTGTCTTCCTCGAGCGCTTGTTTCCTTTGTCTCGTGAACATTGAAAAATGAAAGGAATGATGAGGATTCGGGGGCGGAGGGCTGGGGTGTGGGGGAGCCGGGCAGAGAACTGCAGTGTTGGCGGAACTCGCCAAGAGGGCGGTGTGAGGGCGTTTGAACTGAGAAAGGGACCCTCTGAGGTGACCTGGCAGCTCGGGGAAGTGGGGGCCCTCCTGATTCCCGGCCCCAGCTTGGGGTGAAGGGCCTCCCCGGGGGCGGACGCTTCACATCCCCTCTCCTGCTCAGGCCATCGAACTTCCTGTGGGTCCTCAGACTCCTGGCTGTCCAAGGCCACGTCCTGCTGCGTCGGGTTGTGATGAAAAAGAACTGAGAGTGTGTGCGGACCAGGGGTTGTCCACCATGGGCACTTTCAGAACCGTTTTTGGTTGTCACAGCTAGCAGGGGATGGCATCGGTGAGCAGAGACCAGGGATGCCACCAAACATCCAGATGCCCAGGACGGCCCCCAGCAGAGAACCACAAGTCCTGAAAACTTTTTTAAATGTGTTTCTTTTTTTAACTGATTTTTTAGAGAGAGAGGAAGGGAGAGAGAGAAATAGAAACAGGGATGTGAGAGAGAAACATCAATCGGCAGCCCCCTGCAGCCCCTGGGGATGAGGCCTGCAACCCGGGCATGTGCCCTGACCGGGACTAGAACTGGGACCTCAGTCCTTGGGACGATGCTCCGTCCACGGAGCCACACCGCCCGGCTAAATGCCGGTTTCTGTTCAGGGCCCCGGGAAGGTGGAGAACAGGTGTGTGGGGAGGAAGGCCACACACCGACGTCAGCTGCCTGTGACCAAGGGTCTGTCCCTCTTCGCTCGGCCGGCACAGTGACCCAGCGTGGTCGCGCCCTGCACTCTGCCGGGTGCTGAGTGACAGTGGCCGTCCCTGCGCTCATGGGGTGTGTGGCCCAGAGGAAGAGCTCAGACGGAACAAGGGCACAGTGAGTCAGTGTCCCCGCGTGTCCCTCCAGAAGGGGGCGGGGCGCGCGCCCTGCGGTGGACGCACAGTGCGAAGGGACGGAGGTACCCGAGGTACCCGCTACCACCTAAGGATGGACCCTGAAAATGCTCCGCTTCCTGAGCGAGGCCAGACACCAAAGACCACATCCTGCATGTATGTCCCCCAAGACGTTTGTGGTGACAGTTGCACAAGCCAGGAATACGCAGAGCACACGTCCAAGGGGCGGGAGTGACCGCCTGGCGAAGGTGGCTGAGTGGCGTCAGCAGAAGGGAGGCTGAGCCGCAGGCCCGGTGCGACGCTCTCGCGGGCTGGGAGGGGCGGGCTGCGCGGGACCCTGGGGCCTGCACCCAGGCTTCAGGGCCGAAGGAACCTTCCCTCACAGCTGCTCCAACCCACAGAGGTCATGACCCCCACGGCACAGCTGTGCACTGGGCCGGCTTCCAGGGCCAAGCAGCCCTGCCGGGCTTCCCTTGCCAGCTCCTCGCGGCTCTGAGGGCCCTGCCTCTGAGCTGGCCCCGCACCCCAGGGACCCCTGTACCCGGACTCCTGTGCATTTCACCCTGAGCCACCGAGAGACGGGTGCAAAGGAAACACCCCACCCTGGGCGTGATAGAGGACAGCCCCCCACTCCCAGGAAGCACCTCCCTTGGGTCCCTTTCCTCCGCCTTCCTCAGGGGCCTCCCCCAGTCCGGCTTCCTCCCGCTCCAGCCAAGCACTGGAGGTGGTGGATGGGGCGGGTTCCCTCCTGCTGTGCCTGCAGTGAGAGGTACCCCTGTATACAGTCTCCGCACAGACAGACCGGGGCTCTTATCCCTCCCCCAGGCCCTTCCCGAGAATCGGAACAGACCCTGGGGGAGAAATCCCAGGTGTGCTGTGGTGGGAATGAAGGGCCCTGACATGACACACACACACACACACACACACACACACACACACACACACCCCGTCTACCCCTCAGATTGCCCCCCCCCCCCCCCCGGGGCTGCACAGCACTGGGCAGCAGGGTTGGTTGGTTTGTGACTGGCTTCCTTTTTTGTCCCCATCAGCCTGGGACATCCCCAGGGATGTGGGCTGGGGGGGGGCTGTGGTCATTCCAGAAGCTTTCCGTCACTCTGGTCCCTCTGGCCATCAGTGTGGTCTGAGAAGAGTCCACTTCTCAAAACACTGGCCCGGGAGCGGGCGGTGGCCACAGGACTCTCTCCTCCAGCCCCCAGGCCAGATGGCCTGGTCGCCGGGATGGTGCGGCATCCGAATGGGGCTTGGCGCCCACGCCAATCTGGTTCTCTGTGGCGATGGGGAGGAGCCCGGGCATGGCAACTGGGTCATTTCCCAGGGCCCCGGCTTCTTCCCAGGGTTGGCACGCCCTGTCCTGCCCCTCGGGGTTCAGGGAGGTGGGGCGCTTGTCATTCTCCTTTGCTTGGCTGAGCGGAGGGACGGAATTAGCTCTCCAAGCAGCCAGACCATCTCGGGGAGGGACCAGGATGGGCCTCCTGGGAACCTGCCCAAGGCTTTTTCCCTGGTCCCTCTGGGAAAAGATCCAGAAAAAGGCCGAAGTGTCCAAGCAGAGAGGGAGGGGGCAGGGTGGGACCAGGCCCTGCCCAGCGGTCAGGAGAAGCCCCCGGGGCTCTGGGAAGCCACAAGGTCCCACCGCAGCCAGGCAGTGACTGTTCCCAGGGGCTCCGGGCAGGGCTCGCTGGACCAGCGTCCTCCTGGACCCTGGGGTCCTCACGCATCCCGCCTGCAGGCCAAGTGCAGCTTCACGGGATCCTCAGGAGTCGAATCCCCTCCAGAAGGCTGGCCTGCAGCCAGGCTGTGAGCACAGAGATCCGCCTGCCGCTCAAGAACGGTCCGAAACGTCGGGGCTCAGCAGGCGGGACCTCCACTTCCTGCCCTTCTGTCCCTGCTCACTGAGCTGTGTCTGTCCCCAGCCCTCTCCTGTGGAACCAGCGACAGGCACCTGGCCTGCGGTGCCGGGACAGCAGGAGAAAGGCCAGCCCAGGGACCCACCGGTGTCCAGACGCCAGGGTCGGGCGATGCGTGTGGCTGTGGACACTCCAGGTCCAGCCTCTCCAGGCTGCAAGGGTGTCAGGAGGACCCCTTCAGCAGCTTTCGCCCCTGCCCCTGCACCTCAGTGACACATGTCCTCAAGGACCAAAATGAAGGTGACGCAGTAAGCCGGGGGGCTTGTGGGTCGGGTAGAGCCCCGTTCAGATTCTGACTGTGGTGCTCACCAGCCCACAAACCGGGGCCCCAATTTCCCTGTGCTGAGCCTGTTTTCCCACCTGCGAAGTGGTCTTTCTAATGCCACCCCCCCAAAGGGCCTCTTTGGCCCGCTGCTCAGCACCTGGTCCGGACCGTCAGCGACCACCTTGCCATCCCAGTGCAGTATTGTCTGCCTCCTCTGTCCTCTGCCTGAAGTTCAGGCTTTCCTTATGTTCTTATGCACATCCTCGTCTGCTGAGTGACAGATCGTAGCAGTTGGAATCCTCCTCCATGGAGATGGTATGCCCAGCTGCCTCCGTGGCTCGACCACAGGACCTGCTCTGGCCGATGAAACGTGAGCAGAAGTGACTTGCGTTGCTTCAGGGCAGGATGTCGGGGCCAGCGTGCAGGTGACCCCGTGAGTCCCTCTGCCACCAGAGAGCACCGTCCACGCCCATGAGGCTCCTCCCCCAGCCAGATCCAGAGCTGCAGCCGCCCTCCCAGGGCAGGTGGCATGGGACCTGTGACTGTTGGAAGTCCCCGAAAGCGGTTCCCCAGAGCTGTTTCTGGTCTCCGGCCGCCGCCAGGAGGCGTGGGTGATGATCAATGAAGTGCTGTGCCTTGGGACTTGGCGGTCCTCAGGAGGTGCTCAGTAAGCAGTAGACACGGTCCCGACTTGGCATTTCTGCACACAGACCAGACTGACCAGCCTCCTTGAACGTGAGTGTACATGCGGGCCACCCTCAGGAAGTTCCTCCACTGAATTTGTAGCCCGGGACCTCCTCACTGCCTGCTCCCTTCCTCGAGCCCCTCTCCCCACACAGGCCGTGTAGACAGAAGCTACTTAGATGAGATTCCATGGCCCATCCGTCCCCAAGCCCTAGGCCAGCTGTGTTGAGGAACCACGGGGCCGCTCTCCCTTCTCCGGGCTGTAGCTTCTTCCCCACTGACCGCGCCTGTCCGTCCCCCGCTGCCGCTCCAGCCCCCCCTTCTCCTTTGTCATTTCCCTTGCCATCAAACCAGGCGGGGGCCCAGGGCACCCCTAGAACCGGCCTGCGGTGCTGGTGGTCTTCAGAGTGTTGGCTTCTCAGGAACGTCGCCCTCCTGGCACCCAGCACGTGCTAGGTCGACACTGACGCTCAACAGAGGCTGCTTCTGTGCTCCCGAGGGGGTGGCTTCATGGTTGGGGGGCCGCGGCAGGGCAGAGGCTGCTCTCCGCAGTCCAGGTCGTGGCCATTAGGGAAGTGGGTGGGGAGGCAAAGTGCCCCTAACCCCTGGCTGTTGGGAGGGGCCTGGCCGCCAGCAGAGACCGTGCACACCCAGGCCTGGGCTCCGCTTTCTCTCCCATCTCTGCTCCTTTCTCGCCCATTTCTCGCCTGCCAGCCGGGGACCCCGCGCGGACCCGTTCTTTCTCAAAGGGGGGGGGTTGTGGTTGGGACCGGTCTCCCCCCTGCCCACCAAGGACCAGGGGCCAAGGATGTCAACAAAAGAACTCGCAAAAGCCATTTCTTTATTTTTCATTCCTGCCGTTCAACCAGGTTGCAGAAGCTGAGGATGAGTGGGTTTTGGAGGGGAAGGAGCCCGGAAATCATCTTTGCACACTGCTGAAGCTGGTTAGACTTGAGAAGCAATTTAACAATAAACTCTACAGAATTAGAAATGTACAAAAGTGTCAAGGTGACTGCTGGCTGGTTTCTTGCCTCCCAAGGAGGGTCCGAGTTATGCCTATCAGTCCTGTGCAAAGGTCCTGGGGCTGGCCTGGGGGCAGCCGGATTCTTCCCCAGGAGAGGAGCTGTCCTGCTCACCCAGCAGAAGTGGGCCGAGGGGTAGGCGCGTGGGTGTGTGCCCAGACGCCGTGGCCCCCGCAGGCTCTGTGGCTTTCAGGCGTGTCAGTGTCCAGCCCTTATGTCCGCCCTTTGAAAGTGTTCATACAGGTGTAGGTTCCTGAGAATCTGTGGATCTCCTCGAGGGCAGCCTGTGGGAGGATGCTGGGGGCAGCGAGGAGGGAGAAGAAAAGATGGTCGGTCAGTGGGGCAGGGGACCAGCAGCTGGGTCGCTAGTGGCCACACCAGGTGGCGTAGTAGAGCGATGTCCCTAAGCCCACCCCTCTCTCGAGCCCACGAGACACCCCTGCTCACCCCTCCACGGAGGAAGGGCTTTCAAGCAAGTGGATGAGCGGCTGTTTACAAGGCGAAGGGTGGGTGGCAGACATCAGCTTTCAAAGCCACATTCTTCGCATTTTAGGGCCCACAGGTATCTCGGAGATCAAGTAACTCCAAATGCCACTTATTCAACAAATATTTACTGTGTGGGGCTGGGGCTGGGGCTTATGTCCTGGGTGTCACCTCCTCCCGGGAAACTCCTCACTCACGTCCAGGCTCTCCTTGGGCTCCCCACAGTCCGTGTTTCCCCCAACAAGCTCCGGTGCTGTCCTCACTGTTTACGTGTCAATCCCACGGGGGATCTCGTGTCAGATATTTGACCTCTGACTCTGGTCCCTGCACAGGGCCCAGCATGAGAGGGCCTCAGTCCCTTTGTTGAATTAAACTGAAGGGCCCAGGCCCACTCTGGGTGCAAGATGGGAAAGGCCCCCTTCTCGTGAGAGCAATCTGGAAGACTTCCTGGAGGTGGTGGCAATGAAGTTGAGCCTGTGGAGATTTCTCTTGGGGAAGGTGAAGAGGGGTTATAGAGCAGGGAACGGGGGGGATGTGGCCTCTGCGTCCCGTGGGAAAGTAGCAGGGGGTAGAACAGAAAAGGTAGGCTGGGGCTTACTGTGAGAACACTAAGGTGTGCTAGGCAAACTAGCTTTTCCTAGAAAAACCACCTTTCCCTGGGGCGGAAGGTGGCAGCCTGACTTGGGTGAGGACCTGAGTCCTGCCCTCTAGGGGCCCATGAAGGCAGCCAAGGAGCACCTCAGAGCAACGCCCTCAAGTGCCCTCAGCCCCTGACCCACTGCTCTGCAAGGGCTTTGAGTCTGAGAAAGGCCTGCTGACGAGTCCCCTCTGCTAGGAGGTTTCTGTGCCCACAATTAGAGCCCACGGGACATACAGCCAGAGGGGAGCCTGGTTTCCCAGGAGTGGGGACCTGATAAAGGGAATTCGGAAAGGCTTCCAGGGCAGAGGGGCTCGGCCAGCCAGGGGGTGCAGGCCAGAGGTGGTAGGGGGCCCAGAGGAGCCAGAGTCCACGGCCCATGAACACTGCCTAGGTGGATGGAGCGGCCCCTGCATGTGGGGCTCCGATGGGAAGGGTTTACGGCCCACAGTCTGGAAAGTTCTAGGGAATGCGATGCTGGGAAAACCCTGGAGGACCACCTCCCCAGGCGGTCTGCCCTGGTAAATCCCACCTGCCGAGCACTGTGACATTTCTAAGCCTCGAGCCTTCCGCATCAACAGCTTCGTCTTCCCCATTAGAGTAAACTTCTTGAAGGCCAAGCCCAACAATTAGTCTCTAGAACACCGGTTCTCAAAGTGTGGCCCAGGAACCCTTGGGGGTACCCGAGGTTTCTTCAGTGGTCTGCGGGGTCAGACAACTTTGACAATAATACTAAAATGCTATTCGCCTTTTTCACTCATCCTCTCGCGAATGTACAGTTGAGTTCTCTGGGGGCCACATGACATGGGGCATAACCACAGATTAAAATCAGAAGCAGAAGAACCCAGTTGTCTTCAATTACATGAGACAATAAAGAGCTTTGCAAAAAAGGAAAGCAATACCATTCTGCTCACTGCATTCTTTTCTCTTTTTGGAAGACGTCCTTACTTTTCCAAAGACACCATTTATGTTAACACGGAATAGATTTTTTTTTATTGATATCTATACCTGAATCAATGTTGTAAATATAAACAAATGTATTCATTTTGTAAAATGTTTTCTGTTTTCATTTCTAGTGCAGTGAGCAGGAGTAGACACAGCTCACATACACTGCAGCTCTTTGGGCACCGCAACATTTTCAAGATTGTAAAGGCGGCCCTGGCCGGTTTGGCTCAGCGGTTAGAGCGTCGGCCTGCGGTCCTGAGAGACCCGGGTTCGGTTCCCGCTAAGGGCGTGTACCTCGGTTGCAGTTTGTCCCCGGCCCTGGTCGGTTGTGCGGGTGGCAGCCACTCGATGTGTCCCTTTCACATCGATGTTTCCCTCTCTCTCTGTTCCTCTCTCTCCCTCCCACTCTACCTGAACAAAAAAAAATGGAAAAAATGTCCTCGGGTGAGGATAAAAAAAAAAAAAAAAAGATTGTAAAGGCGTCCTGAGACCCGCACATTTGAGAACCGCTGCCCCAAATCAAGGACAGGAAACCCTTGGTGCCCGGGCCACCCCTCCTCCGCTCCATGCCCACAGCAGACATGACTAATCGATCGCAGGTGTCCTTCCTCCAGCCTGAGGCCTCTCCCCAGCAGGGCCCGACTGGGAGGAGGGGCGCCCAGGGCTTCCGTCCCCCCAGCCCGTACCTTTTCAAGATAACGAGGGCGTGCATGGTCCACGGGAGCAGGAGGAGGGCCTGGTTCAGCTGCACAGCCTCCACTGTCCTCCGGGCCACCGTCTCCGGCTTCAGCGGGGGGAAGAGGTTGGGGAACCTGGACGCAGGAAGAGACACAGGGTTCCTGCTGGAGAGGCCGCAGCTGCGGCAAACCTCCGGGGCTGGCACGTCCGGGTTACTCCTCTGGAGTCCCCAGGAAGACCTGTGACTGGGAGACTCGAGACCTGCGTGCCCTCCCCCTGCCGCCCAATGGCCAGCCCCGAGTCTCCCCGGGAGAATCAAGGACCGCAGCCCTTCGGGGATCCCATGCTCTCTAGTGTCCTGCTCACTCGTGGTGGGGGGCGGCCGGCCCCCTCTTCCCCTCCTCTGCTCCAGCACTCCTGGCCAGTCCTTCGGTTCCTATCACTTCAGCCCTTTCCTGTCCCACGGTCTCTGACCAGCTGTCCATCATCCTGGCTTCCTCCTCCGGGAGGCATCTCGGCCGGTCCATTCAGAGGGGCCTCCAGTCTCACCCCCCTGCATTCACATCTACCGTGGCCTTGGCTGTGGGCTTGTTTCCTTGTCAGTGGCTCGTCTCCGCCATCAGACTGTGAGTGAGTCCCACAGGGGCAGCGGTCTGGTGGGTCCTGCTCCCCGTTGTACCCCCTGTGCTGTGTCTGGCACATCAGAGGTGCTCAATAAATTCTTGCAGAATGAACGAACAGGACTTGCCCTTCCCCCAGTGTGTCCTGCTTAGCCTGCCTGGAGGCGGGAACTCTGCAGAGAGGGCCCCTCCCGGCCTCGCAGGTTCACTCCCTCACGGTTCACTCACTCACTGAAACCTTCACGCAGCGCTTTCCATGCCCGACAGCCGAATCCGCGATTGACACGCAAATGCAGGTGCTTCTCGTGCCTCTTCACAGGCATCGCCCTGAGACCGTGTTGGGACAGCGCTCCCCGAGCGCGTGGCCTGTGCTAGGTGCTCACTGGGAGTGGGTGGGGGACGAGGGGTGCAAACCCAGGCTCTGCCCCCCGCCCTCGCTCACTGGCTGTCCCACCCCCCTGGGGCCTGTAGGCACAGCGCTGGCTCTGACCTCAATCCCACAAAGGGCCTGTGAGCTGCTCCGGCACCAGGAGGATTAAGGGTGATGAGTCACCTGGGCCTGATGTCACTCGCAGCAAAGGGCAACCCTTGGGCCCCCCGTGCTGACTTGGTTGGCCTCTGAGAGTCCACGGATCTCATTCCCCGCCCTGGGCTTCACTGCTGTCACCGTGTGCCGCTGAGACCCCACACCCTGCCGTCCGGAAGGCCCGCCTCCAGGGTCTCCGGGGACGGACGCGTTTGCGCAGCTCACTGGTGTTGGAAGCCTACAGGCGCGGCAGACAGTGTGGCTTCCCAGTGCTCGGTGGGCCAGCCCTGCTACTGGGGGAAGGGAAGACAGGAGGCACAGACCAAGCTCCATGGGTTCTGCAGGGCTTCATGCTAGACCCCACAGGAGAAGCTGAGAGAGGCTGAGCGATGCCTCTCGCCCGATCCACTGGAGAAACTGCCTCTCCTCTCCCAGCAGGTGGGATGGGGGAACCAACAGGGCTGTTAACTCCAACCGGCGCAGCACAGACTCTAGGAGAAGCTCACTCAGCAAATTTCTATCTGCGTGGCTTTGGGCAAGTCGCTTTGCCTCTGAGCCTCAGTTCCCTCGTCTGTGAAATGGGGATGAAAGGTCTCTCACAGGGCGGCCGAGGGCCAAAGATGTTTCTAAAGCAGCGGTTCTCAACCTGTGGGTTGCAACCCCTTTGGGGGTCAAACGACCCTTTCACAGGGGCCGCCTAAGACCATCAGAAAACACAAATTTCCCATGGTCTTAGGAACCGAGACACCGCCCCTCTGTCCGCCCGTCTGTCCGTCTCCTGTCTGTCTCCAGGGGGCCCGCCCCCGTGCAGTCGCGCCCACAGGCCGCACGAGGAGCCGTATGGAAGGCTGAGAACCACTGAATGCGTCTGGTGCGGCTGGAACACAGATCCGGCAACGAACAAACATCAGTGCCCACCTAGGTGGGTACTGCTGCTGCGAAACTCAGCAATTCAGGCCTAAACACTGTCTCCCACGCTCCACCCTGGGAGGAAGCCGATGCTCTTTTCCTTCTCTTCTTGTTTTCAGGAAAGAGAGTTGGCGAGGTACCCCTCAGCCAGGCACCCCTTACCACTCCTCTCCCAAGCCCTGGGGCTTCCCTGCCCAAGCTGACTGCTTGCCAGCAAGCTAGCTATTCACACACAGAGGCATCGAACCTGTGAAGTGGGGGGCACCCCTTCTTAGAGATGAGGAAACCCAGGCACAGAAAAGCAAAGTGAGGTGCCCAAGGTGACGCAGAGCTGGGACTCGGCCCCAGGCGGTTTGGACCCACGCTTGGAACGACTAGAAAAGGGACTTGAGGGAAATGCTGAATTTCCGTCTTAAAGCGATGGAGAGGAACTGCTGGAAGGCGGACTGGAGGGGTGTGGGCGAGCGCAGGTGTCCCGCCCACTTCTGTGATGGCCAGTGCTGCGCCCAGCAGGCACCTCCTGAGCACCTCCTGTATGCCCAGCGGAAGAGAACCCACACCAAGACCTCGTGGGGGGAAGGCCACGCGGAACGTTACTAGTCACGAATCCCGCCTCCTCCTCATTCAGAATCTGTGATCCTTTGCCCGCGAGGAGGGTGGAGACGTGTACTCCTGTGACACACTGAAGTCAGCGTCCGCCAGGGAGCGTGCGAACAGATGCGCTTCCGAAGACGCTGATGGTTGATAAGGACACAAAGCCGGGGTCCGTCACTGAGCACCGAGCATGCCCCGGGCTTCACTCTAGACGCATGACACGCGTCGCTTTGAATTCTCCCAGTCGTCCCACGGAGGAGTGTGATTTCCACCATTTCACGGATGAGCGACGCGAAGCGCAGAGAGGTAACGACCGCGGCTCGAGACTGCACAGCTGTCCAGCAGCGGTTCCAGCCCGGAGTTTCCTCCTGATCACCCACACCGCGCTCAGCAATCGTGGCGAAGGGGTACGCGTGGCCGCCGCCAGCATGCACTAGCCTGGGTGCCCATGATTTGCGTACAAAATGAGGCATGCATCTTAAGTGCACAGTGTGATTGATTGTAACCTATGTAACCACTGCCCAGGTCAGGAGTAGAGAACATTTCTAGCAGCCTGAACAGGTCCCTCCTGCTCCCCGGCAGGCTACACCCCCACCCTCCCGGGCAGCCCCCGTCCGGACCTCTGTCACCGCGGCCCCGTTTGCCTGTTCTGGAACCTCGCACACAGGGACCCACACGGAATGCACGCTTTGCCTCTGGGTTCTTCTGCTTAACATGTTTTGGGTCCATCCCCGTGGCCTGGGATCGGCCCTCGGTGTCCTCCGAGAGCGGGTGGTATTCCGCGGCACACACCCGGACTTTGGGGAAACTCCCTTACCCGAGAAGCAGGACCCCAAACCTCCACAGTATCCCACTGTCTTGGAGATGGAAAGTCGGGTCCCAGACCTCGAAGCCGAGATAAAGGGTCTGGGATGTTTTTCCATCTGTGCTCTCTGTGCGGAATAAGCCCCTCTCCAGGCCCAAGCTGCGGGCGGGACTTGGCTGGGAAGGGCGGGCCCTGCTCACTGACCTGACCCTCATGCCCTGGAACATCTCGGTGCTGGTGTGGAAGGGCAGCACGGTGGTGGCGCTGACGCCCGGACAGTCCAGCAGCCCCAGGGTCAGGCTCTCCATGAAGGCGAAGGCCGAGGCTTTGGAGGTGCAGTAGTCGATGGCACCAGGGATGGCCGACAGGGCCAGCACGGAGCTGAGACACACGATGTGGCCATTCTGCAGCTCCAGCATGCGCGGCAGGAAGGCCTTGGTGGTCTGAGGACGGGCGGGGAGGTCAGTGTGGAGCAGATACACCTCCCAAAGCCCCTGGACCCCTCTCAGGGGGAACAGACCACCCTGCACACGCACTGCCCTGATGCTGGAGACTTTTTGGGGCAGGAGGGGCCGAGGGCTGCCCGTACGGAGTCCATATGTCAGGAAGTCCAGACACCTCCCGGGGCCGGTCCTTCCTCTTATCTGGCCACATTGTCCTTGAGCCCAAGCCCCGGGGAGCCTCTCCTACCCCCCTTAGGACACCCGGGACGCTGGAGGGAAGGAGCGTGTCACTGTCATGCCCAGGGCTGCGTCTGGAGCAGAACGGTCCTTACCCAGAACTGGCCCAGGGTGTTGATGTGCTGGGATTTCAGGAGGGCGTCGTCGTCGCTGTCCATCAGGCTCTTCCCGTGGACCACGGCGGCGTTGTTCACCAGGATGGTGATGTCACCCACCTGCGGGTGAGAGCGGCCCCAGTGGAGTGCGCCCTCGGGGTGGGACCTGGCCCCATCCCCACCATGTGACCTTGGGCCGCCACATCACCGTTCTGAGCATCAGCCTTGATTTGTAAGATGGAGCTCATGACCCGACCAGAGTTGTTCTGAGGATCGGAAATCACTGATGGCGCACAATATACCCGACACAGAGCATGTTTGTAATAAGTGAGGTTATCGATACATGAAAGTTGTTGACATTTACCATGTGCCAGAGAGCTAACAGGGTGGACTGTGCTGACACACTCGGTCGAAATAGATGGCTGGAGTCAGGAGAAGGATTTTCCCAGAGGGCAATGGGACATTTGCCCCCAGGGTCTAGGAGAGAAACTCCTAAGGTCTAAATCCCAAAGGGGACAAGAGATGATTCCTTCTGTCATGTGATCAGCCCGTACCCCGAAGCCCTGCCCCCCCCCCCACACACACGCACACACGGCCTGGGCCAGCCTCACGGGAGACTCCCCGGAGATGCTCTGGAAACAGCCACTGTGCCGTAGCAACGCCGTGTCCCAGGCCCCCCGGGAACGTGCTCTTCGGCTAGAATTCCCTGTGTCCAGCGGCACTGAGGATGGACCCTCCCAGGCTACTGACCTTCTCCCGGACGGCTTTGGCCGTCTGGTACACCTCCTCCCGGTTGCCCACGTCACAGATAAAGTAGTGGCACTCGGTGCCCAGCTGGCGAATCTCCTCGGTCGTCTCCTTCAGGCATTTCTCAGTCCGGCCCCAGAGAACGATCTGGAAGGAGAGAGTAACAGCACTGAACAGGTGGTCGCAAAGCGAGCCGTCCTGATTCAACAACTAGCACAGAAATCCCGTCTTTAATGGAATCTGCCCGAGGACTGGCCTCCCTGATTCCAGCCCAAGAGAGGACACAAAGCAGAGTAACAATACGGCCCGGCCAGTGTGGCTCGGTGGTTGGGCGTTGACCCCTGCACCAAGAGGTCGCCGGTTCGATTCCCGGTCAGGGCACATGCCCAGGTTGAGGGCCTGATCCCCAGTGGGGGGCGTGCAGGAGGCGGCCAATCGATGTTCTCTCTCATCCATGTTTCTATCTCTCTCTCCCTCTCCGTTCCTCTCTCTCTCGAAATCAATATAGAAAAAAAAATTAAAAATCACAATACGACTTTTTAGAAGGGATACAGCCCACTCTGAAGTGAACCAATAGGCTCTGAGCCCCTTTCTGACCCGTGTTCCTGACGGGTCTCAGACATCCTCTCCAGCAGGACGCCTCTGCCAGCCCGTTCCTGTTATCCTACATAGTTAGAAGCAACAGCAGAGTCTGTCTGCAGAATGTTCCAGAATGTTCTCAGTGAGGAACAGGCTGGCCTTTCCGCCAGTTGGGTCTAGAGCCAGGTTTGTGAACACCACCGGTTCAATCGCACTGGGAGGTGCTGGCCGTGAGGTTACAGAGGTATGCCAAGCCTCCACCTAGCTGCGGTCACCCTCGGTCACTCTCGGAAGAGGGCCCGGAACAGGCAGCCAGGCTCCTGCTCAGAAGGAACGGCCTCACCCCCAGGTAAACTCGGGATTCATCCCGCCAGGGGGTGGCCCAGGCAGGACCAGAAAAGGGATTCTTAAAGGGGAGGGAAACATTTATGAATGTCCAGCCATAAAGGCCCAGCAGAGAAGCCTGGCTGTTTCTCAGCCTTGACCTCAGCGAGAATGACACCTCATGACCGGGCCTGGTGCACAGGGCGGACAGCTGGGGCTGGAGACGGTCAGAGAAAGGAAGAGATAAAAGCCTCCCTGGGGATTAGTCTAATGGGTTCCTAGTTTTATTTCTTCTTTTGCTTTTTTAAACTATCGATGAAATGCCCCCTTTAAAAATAAAACCCAAGCCCTGGCCGGTTTGGCTCAGCGGTTAGAGCATCGGCCAGTGGTCCAGAGGGACCCGGGTTCGGTTCCCGCCGAGGGCACGTACCTCGGTTGCAGTTTGTCTCTGGCTCTGGTTCGGTCGTGCAGGAGGCAGCCACTCGATGTGTCCCTTTCACATTGATGTTTTTTTTCACTCTCTCTCTTCCACTCTATCTGAACAAAAAATGGAAAAATGTCCTCGGGTGAGGATTAAAAAATTAAAAAATAAAAATAAAACCCACCCCAAAAGCCCCATGTGTGAAACCAGCACAGGGAATAACTGACATGTCCAAGTCCACATTTTCTTACTCTAAAAGCAACTCCAGAACAGAAAGGCTGTGTTGGGAAAGCCAAGCTTTTCGAGTGGGGGTTGCAGAGGGAGCAGCAATCACACGGGGCTGGAACCCAGTCTCCTCTGGATTCTGCTTTGCGATACAGGATAGAGAAAAGTCACAGCGATAAGCCGTTCTCGGTGGCAACCGTTTATCAGCTGTTTACCGTGAAATCTCAGAACTCACGTCGGCAGCAAGGGCCTGGCAGGGTGTAGCTGGTGGGACACACGAAGGCGCCGGTGGCCTCCAGGGAATTTTATTTTTTGTGTTTTTTTTTTGTTAGAGTTTTTAAAACTTCTGAAACAGTTTTCTAAAGAAAATAAAAGTGTTTTCTGCAACCGCTAAAACATCTCTGGAAAAGCCCACTTTGAAAACTCACGTTACCCAACTCATTTATGTTAAATAGATACATTTATCTTGACACACAGGAAGGGGTTGTGAGTGAGGACTCCATCAGTGGCTCTCCTTGACCCAAAGGTCCATCCAGGGCAAGCGCACTGCAATCAGGCAATTAGGCTTTATCTGATGAACTAAAAACAGACCCAGCACTGCTCCTCCGGCAGAGGCTGGGAGGGTGACTTCTTGGAGATGAGACACAATATCTGTTCTAGGGAGGCATTTTGGTGTAGGCAGGCCCACTCCTCCAGACCCTCCCTCGCCTTGTAGCCATGGTCACCCAAGTTTCCTTCCATCCTTCCCTGTCACTCCATCTGTCTGTCCATCCATCCATCCTCCTTCCCATCCATCTATGCATCCACCCCTCATTCCTATCTGCTGTCCACCCCACCATCCATCCACCCAACCCTCCTTCTTCCTTCTACCCACCCCATCATCCATCCATCCCTCCCTCCTTCTTCCTTCTACCCACCCCACCATCCATCCACCCAACCCTCCTTCTTCCTTCTACCCACCCCATCATCCATCCATCCCTCCCTCCTTCTTCCTTCTACCCACCCCTCCATCCATCATTCCTATCTTCTACCCACCCACCCCACCCCATCATCCATCCATCCATCCATCCATCCATCCATCCATCCATCCATCCATTATCTATCCATCGTTTGAGTGTGTCCGAGTGAGCTGAAAGTAATCCGTGGCCTCCTTTCTCCTGCTCTGGTTCCTACTTAACCCCACCCCACCTCCAGCTCACACGGGAAACAGGACCCTGGGCTTGCACAGTTCCCTAGAGTCTGGTGGGGCAGGAAGAGGGGCCTCTGGCGATTCTGAGAATGTCTGGACCAGCTGACAGAGGGGGAAACTTAAGTCGGGGCCTTGTCGGAAGGTGCAGGGGTCCAGGTGCCGGGAGCACAGTGCTCACCCAGAGGGTCTGGGGCAGTAGCCCAAATGTGTGCCCTTCATTCTGGGAAGCCTGGGTTCTTCTCGGCACAAACAGGTGTGCATGGGCTTCTGGCAACAGGGGCACTGAGAGCCTAGAGGCTGCTGGGCAAGATAAACTCCCCTGGACCCCCAACTTCTCAGGTATGGCAAAGAAGGCAGGGGTCTAAGGCCCCAGTGTGGTCAGGCCAGGAAACGGGCAGTCAGGGCCCCGGGAGGCCAGCCCAGCCCTGTGGCTAAGGACAAACTGGAGATGGACACTGGGCTGGGGGGAGGGAGGCAGAGTAGGCTGGGCCCCAAGCCTTCCAGGTGAGGGGGATGCAGCCAGGTGGGACCCTGAGGTTTGGCCATTTCCTTCTGAGGCTCTGTGGAGGACACCCCTGGAGGCTGGGGGACTGGCTCCCCGTGCCTGTGCTCGGAGCCCCACTTCTCCCTGACAGCTTTGCTTTCCGCCTTCCTCCCGACCCCAGTAGGCTGGGAGCCCACAGCCCTTGACTCTGGCTCGTTCGTTTTTACACCCCGGTGCCCAGCGCAGCCTGCGCAGTGTATCGAGCGAATGAAGGGACGCTCAGCATCACAGGCAGGATGGGGTGGGAGGTGTGAAACGGCCTCTGTGTGGCCGAGACCATCCCCTCCTCCTTGACTGAGTCGTTTAGGGCCTCAGACCCCTCAACCCAGAGTCTACTTAGACCAAGAGCCAGTGAGATCGGGAGTTTTCCCAGAGCCCCGAAACGACCCTGGGGCTGAGCCATAAGGTCAGGAGCCAGGCCAGAGCCCGAGAACCTTGAAGCAGGGCAAAGGGTTCGTCGTAGATGGAAATGAGGCTCAGGGGGTATGCGTGCGCCTCACTGTGTCTGTGAGTGTGTGTCTCTGTGCACGTGTGTCTCGGGGTCTGTGTGTGTGTGTGTGTGCAGCCTGTCACACTGCTGTGCATTTCCTCAGGCCCTTGGTGGATGCTCAGAGTCCCTGAGAGCCAGGGATGGGCATGTTCCCATCTCAGGACTTGGTGTATCTCCATGGCGACGGCACGGCCCAGGACTGGTCCACCGTGGGGGAAGGTGAGGGAGGGGGCTGTGTGGAGTGAGCGTTTGGGGCTGCTGTCGCCACCACCTCTTCCGGGCCTCTCTCCCTCCTCGTCTGCTGCCCCGGCCCCTCTGGGGACCCAGAGTCACTGACCAGCACACCGGCTGGTACAGCTCAGCAGGCCCACCCAGTGTTGGGTGTGGGTTAGAACCAGGCAGGAGGCAGGGTGGGGCAGGCAGGTGGGAGGGCCAGTTCACGAGCCCTGGGAACCCCACGTGGCCTCTGCGCGAGCTCCCACCACGAGGGCGGGTGGGCAGGGTTGGTGGCCCAGGATTTCCTCCTGAGCTGTGTTTATAGAATAAGGCCTCGGGGCAGCTCAACACCTCTGGCCTCCCTGCCCCTCTGGGGCAATCGGTTAGCTTCTGTCCTGTGCCTAAGACTGGAGAGGAGGAGGTAAGGGGACAAAGATCTGTGGCCTCCCAGGGGAGGTGGGCCCGGACCTGTGGCCTCCCGGGGCGGTGGGCCCGGACCTGTGGCCTCCCGGGGCGGTGGGCCAGGACCTGTGGCCTCCCGGGGGCGGTGGGCCCGGACCTGTGGCCTCCCGGGGCGGTGGGCCAGGACCTGTGGCCTCCCGGGGGCGGTGGGCCCGGACCTGTGGCCTCCCGGGGGCGGTGGGCCCGGACCTGTGGCCTCCCGGGGCGGTGGGCTCACACCCTGCCCCGCCAGGGCCTCCTAGCAAGGGCATGGTTCCTGCCCTTCCCCCTCAGAGCCCCCTCACAGAGGTGACAGCCAGCTGGAACCCCTGCACAGTCCCAAAGCTGAAGGCTGTTACTGTCTAATTTTTATAGGATATAAAGGCCCAAAGTCACCCTCAGTGGGTGGTGGAGGCAGGATTCAAACCCAGAGCCTCTGTCTTCCACAGAAGCACCCCTGAACCCCAGGCACTGGGGGAGAGTCTGAGCTCTGAGGGTTCTGCTCCCAAGGGGCACGGCCGTCACACCAGTGTTCATTCCCAGCCAGTCCTTCTCGAGCTTTGTCTCGTTCCATGTCCACAACAGCCCGTCCATCTGCTCAGCAGGACTGGGCTGGGGGCCAGCTGTGGGCCGGGCACTGTGGCCGGCAGAGCTCACGAGGTGCGGCCCCGCCTCCTGTGTCCGGCGCAGGGAGACCCAAAGCACGGAGAAAACCCTC